ACGAATAGTTCATGCATTTAATGCTGAAGAGATAACCCCCGTCGAACTGCTTAAAGCCTATCAAATGCAGGCGTTAATGTTGGAAGCCCATGGATGTCTCGCTGAACCCATCAACGAAGCCTACGGCCGCGCCTTGAATCAAGGCTGGCTAGATGAAGCCGAGACGAGGGGTAAACTCTGGGGCATACCAGTATCCCTGAAGGAGAGCCTCCCGATTAGAGAGCATGATATTACCCTTGGACTCGTCAGTAGAATAGGCAGTGTAGCAACCGCAGACTGCCTGCTTGTCGAAATGCTCCGGAAAGCTGGAGCTGTGCCTTTTATGACCAGCAGTATGGCTCCAGCTGGAATGTCTATCGACTCTTCAAATCTAATCTACGGCAAGCAAGTAAATCCGCTCAATACAACTCGCATTTCTGGTGGCAGTTCCGGTGGAGAGGCAATCCTCGTCGCAAAGCGCGGCTCCATGCTGGGCTTTGGAACTGATAGTGCGGGCAGTCTTCGAATTCCAGCGGCCTTCTGTGGAGTTTCCGCCCTAAAACCAACGTTTGAACGCCTATCCACAGTCGGTATAGTTTCGGCCTTCCAGGCCTCCTCGTTAAATCCAAAAACCTGCGTTGGTCCCATTGCCAGAGAAGTGGGGCTGTTGGTGCGTACCATGGAGGCCCTCTGCGCACCCTCAATGTTTGCCATGGACCCAACAGTTATGCCAATCCCCTTCAATAAGGAAGCCTTCGAAGGCACCCTTAAACAAAGACTGAGAGTGGGCTACTTCACAGCGTTCTCTGGTAAGTCCGTACCTGAACCCGTGCCGGCGGTTGTTAGAGCTGTCGATCTGGCAGTCCGAACTCTGCAAGCAAACGGACACCATGTAGAGGCCTTTACACCTCCAGATCCCACCACAATTCTCGAGCTTGGCTTTCGCGTAATGAATGTCGATGGAGGCGCGGAGGTGTCTCGTATATTTCAAGATGAACCCTTAACAAAATCTATGCGATTATTCGTTTACTATTGCCAACTGCCAAGAATAATCAAGCGAGCCTTTACCTATATCGCTCAGTACCTCTATGGGCCAGCCCTCGGTGCAATTGGTAGGGGTTTGTGTGGTTGTGCTAGTGTGACGAGCGCCGCGAAGACGATTTATGAACTGAAACAATTTAGGGAGAAGTTTCTGCAGAGCTGGAACTCCGAAGAGGGTCCTTTTGATGTGATTATTTGCCCGGTGACGTCTTTCCCAGCCCTTCCAATGGACGCCGCATCCATATACACAAATGGCTGTGTGGCCTACACTTTGCTCTTCAGTCTTGTCAACCTGCCCGTCGGGGTGATTCGGACTCACTCGGTCAGCGTTGACGACCTAGGAACTGCCCTACGGAACATTGAACGTTTTGAAGCCGAGGGCGACAAGATGAATGCCTCTGTGGCTCGCCTACAAAAAGGTAGCAGAG